CTGCACTCCTTCCCCGGCGCCCGCTCCCGGAGGGCCCGCCGTGCCCGGGCCGAGCCTCGGCTGGAGAGCGCCTCTCCCTCTTTCTCGCCCTGCTCGCGGAGCGCCGCCGCTCGCTAGCTCGCTGGAGCCCCGGAGCTCTGCCCGAGATGAGTCACTACAATGGCACGAGTTCAACTCCACACTCTTTATTATCCACCCCTGTACCATGTGGATTCACTCACGTCAACCCAGACTCCACCTTGCAGGGAGGAGCGCCCGAGAGGAGGCGGGGGTGAAGGGGACGGCGAGGAGGAGGAGGAGGAGGAAGAGAAGCGGGAGGAGGCGGGCGAAGGGCTCCCCTCCCTGCCAGGGCTCCTGGCCGCGCTGACGCCAACTGCTCCGCCCGGAGCGAGGAAGGAAGGACTGGCGAGGGGCTGGGAGGAGGTCGGCGGCGCGGTTCAGAAGGGTCCCTGGCAGCCCGGTCCCTTCCCCTCTCGCTGCCCACCCCCCAGGACCAGCGCCCTTGGTCTGTCCCATGGGCGCACGTTGCCAAAGATGGTCATTTGCGTTAGAGGACGTGAGTGCGGGGTTCCTCGCTTTCGGGTGACGTGGAGGGAGAGGAATTCCCTCGCCCGCTCCGGAGCGCCGCGAGGCTCCCCGTCCCTCCTCCCCACCCGGGACCGGGTGGCAGGCCGCGGCTGAGTGTTTTGAAAAATAATCACAGTCCCGAAGGGCGAGACGGGCGGTTGCCGAGGCGCCACCGCGAGGCCGGGAGCCGGGCGTGCAGAGCCGCTCGCAGGAAGGGTGCGGCCGCGAGCGCGGTCGTCCGGCGCCCTGCGCGGCGCCGCCCGGTGCAGCGGGCGCCCTAGGCGCGCAGGGCACACGCGCCGCCCTGCGGCCGGGCCTTGGCGGGCCGGGGCACCGCCCGGCAGGGCCGAGCAGCCTGTTTTCCCTCTGAGGCGGCTTGCCCCTGGCTTCCCCTTTTCCCAGCTCAAGGTCCGGCCATGATTTGTCGGAAGTAGCCTTGGAGATGAAATGAACTCAAGACTTTCTGCTGCCCTCCTTGCGCGAAGCGTTCATAGGTGTAAGAAGCAAACTCCTACTTGTTGCGAATTGAAGAGGCAAATAAATAAATAAATACGGGAAAGAGGGAGGCTAGGGATAGGTGTGTCCCAACGACTTCAGCTGTTTGGAGCGAAGTTCAGGAGGCGGGTGGCGCGGACTGCGGGATCTTCCCGCCGCCTCGCTGGGCGGGGCGAGGCGCAGGGTAAAGAGCGCAGGCCTTGGAGTCTGAACGCCAGGCTGTTCCGTTTACGAGCTGTGGGACCTTGGGCGGGTCTTCCCCTCGCAGGGCCTCAGTTTCCTTTTATAAGGTGAAGGGGTTGAGCCAGGTTGAGCCTAGTGAAGGCCCCTGCCATCTCGGGAACTTCCATCCTCCGCAGTGGTGACATGGTGGGATAGGAAGAGCGCTGTACTTTCGATGGTACCTAGTCAAGAAAGTTGGGTGCTGGTCCAGGGTCTATCATCCGTTTGCCCAATCGCAACAAGTGGAGCCCTCTCCCCACCCCTCCCGGTACCCTACACGTTTCTGACGTGTGTGGAGCGTCCAGAGCAGACTGTGAAGCACTGTGCACCCTGAAGCGCATCACAGTCCGGGTCCTCAGTTTCCCGATCTGTAAAGGGAAGGGGGTGCTAGGAAGGAAAAATAGAGCCGGGAACTCGAAGCTTTCCCGAGGCTCTATATAAAGCCCTGGCATTTCCGGGACGTCTGGCGAGGCGGCATCTGGCTGCCCCAATGGCCCAAAGATACGGTAATCCCAAACAATACTCGGGGTCATTGTTTACAGCTATAAAACACATTCTGTCCTAAGCGTCAACCCCCAAGGACCGCTTAGCAAGGCGAGGCCGGCCGGATTCCTCGCGCCTACGCCGAGCAGAGTCCCCCAACGTAGCAGGCCGTG